ATTGTCATGCTGAAAGACCCAGCCACGTTTCATATTCAATGCCCTTGCTGATGGAAGGAGGTTGTCACTCAAAATCTCACGGTACATGGCCCCATTCATTCTTTCCTTTACACGGATCAGTCGTCCTGGTCCCTTTGCAGAAAAACAGCCCCAAAGCATGATGTTTCCACCCCCATGTTTCACAGTAGGTATGGTGTTCTTTGGATGCAACTCAGCATTCTTTCTCCTCCAAACACGTCAAGTTGAGTTTTTACCAAAAAGTTCTATTTTGGTTTCATCTGACCATATGACATTCTCCCAATCCTCTTCTGGATCATCTAAATGCTCTCTAGCAAACTTCAGACGGGCCTGGACATGTACTGGCTTAAGCAGGGGGACACGTCTGGCACTGCAGGATTTGAGTCCCTGGCGGCGTAGTGTGTTACTGATGGTAGCCTTTGTTACTTTGGTCCCAGCTCTCTGCAGGTCATTGACTAGGTCCCCCCGTGTGGTTCTGGGATTTTTGCTCACCGTTCTTGTGATCATTTTGACCCCACGGGGTGAGATCTTGCGTGGAGCCCCAGATCGAGGGAGATTATCAGTGGTCTTGTATGTCTTCCATTTCCTAATAATTGCTCCCACAGTTGATTTCTTCACACCAAGCTGCTTATTGCAGATTCAGTCTTCCCAGCCTGGTGCAGGTCTACAATTCTGTTTCTGGTGTCCTTTGACAGCTCTTTGGTCTTGGCCATAGTGGAGTTTGGAGTGTGACTGTTTGAGGTTGTTGACAGGTGTCTTTTATACTGATAACGAGTTCAAACAGGCGCCATTAATACAGTTAACAAGTGGAGGACAGAGGAGGCTCTTAAAGAAGAAGTTACAGGCCAGAAATCTTGTTTGTTTGTAGGTGACCAAATACTTTACTTACTAAATAGATTTTATTTTTTTCTCATTTTGTCTCTCATAGTTGAGGTATACCTAGGATGAAAATTACAGGCCTCTCTCATCTTTTTAAGTGGGAGAACTTGCACAATTGGTGGCTGACCGAATACTTTTTTGCCCCACTGTATGTGGTTTAGGGGAAACACAAATATAGAGGAAAGTATTTTGTCTTTACTGATCAGATGATTCATACTCACTGGACACTTTTAGGTTTCCGGTGTTTTTTTTTCTTTTTTTCTTGCATCTCAACACATTATTTGAGCAATAGGCGTTTCATCTGCATTTGTGTCTGCATGACATAGGGTTACATAACTCAGTTGTCAGATGACTAGCCTGGTCTGAGAAACTTCTCCAGCATATCGAAAGTTAGAAACAGAAGCCAGAGGAGCCATGGAGCTGCAGGAGATCCCCAACGAGGAAGGTGAAGGAGCAAGTGAACCGATGCTGGAGGTCAAAACTGAAGGTACACATATTTTATTTATTCAGATAACACTTAAGAGTAAAAAAAAAGCCTAATAAGGAATATATAGAAATGAAAAACGATGCATGCACAGTATTGTAGTGTTCCCGTTTTCTATATGAAAAATTCATTTAAAAAAGTGTAATAAAACTTTATAATATTAAGAGATTTTCATTTCATATATTTTAGTTCAACATGTATTTGAGATTTAAAAAACATGTCAGGTGGTTTTGTCTGTTCAATTGAGTCTATCTTTATTTTTGTCTGGCTTTAGAGGAAGCAGAACCTGACCACTACTCCAAACTACAAAGTCCATCTGAGGATATCTATTCAGAAGCTTTATTCAGCGGCGATCCCGTTAAAAAAAGGGCAGAAACGACCCAAGCAGGTACATATTATAATACAAATTGTTGGTGTTTTGAAGCTGCTACGTCCAAAGGTAACATGTAACATGTTTCAGCGTGCATTAAAGCCACTTAAAAGGGTCTTCATTGGTCTTCCATAACACATTTAGTTTTAAAACTGCTCCATGATGTTTCTCACATTCTATATTTGATGTTGAAGTAAAACACACCCCAACAGGGAGTTGCATCAACTTCAATATATTGCTGGTTATTCACCAATGTGTTTTTGTTATTGTGGTTATTTTTACTGTACATGAAAAACTGTAGCCTATGTAATAATGACACGAGTGTTTCTCTGAAAACCGATTCAAATTCAAGAAAAAGAAAAAAGCAGAAGGAAAGGTTTGAAAGCTTAAAAACCACAGCAGAAATTTAGGGGAACAAACGTTTTAATTTGAGCAACGATTACATTTTCATTACAGAAATAATGTCCGTTATTGTTTTACTTTTAATAAAGCTTAGTAGAGGCTTTTTAAGAATGTTTGACGAGCTGGGTAATTGTTCAATTCCAACTTATTTTCTTTTATTGTTGTTATTCTAAAGAAGGTTTAATGACATGTTAAGGTAATTTCTCTGATAAACAGAAAAGTGGAGATATCAAGGACATTTTCACATATTTGTATTGTTTGCTTGCAGCAGAATAACAAAACAAAGTTGAAATATATAGTAAGTATTTTAAATGACGATTGATCTGCTGGTATTTATTTTCAAACAATTTCATTGTAATATATACTGTATATTATAATTAAAGTAGCTCAAAATGCCCCCCACAATTTCCCAGCACCCATGTTAACATTTTACATTTGTTTTTTCTAAACAACAGTCCATAAGCCAAAGATCACCACGACAGAAGAGGAAAAAACCTTTGAGGAATTGAAACCAATGACATTGTTTTTACAATGTCTCAAATAATTAAATAGGAAATGTGTTGACAATGAACTGTCAATGCTCAGTTAGTAAGTCAGTTATCATCAATTGCCATTGTTCCATTGTTATATTATTTTATTTTGAAAAGTATTTCTTACTTATTGAAGTATGATAGTAATTTACCTCGATTTTAATCTGGACAGAGTGAATATGATATACTTACAAGTAGATATTTATGAAAATAAAATTAAAATAACATTTAATTTATTGCATAGACTAATACAAATTTATTTACATTTTGTGATTCTTTAAACACGTTGTTTGTGAGCATTAGAGTACATTCATATTTGTAAGTGGTGGAAATCAAACTATTCTTCATCAAATAAGGGGGGATATCTCTGTAATGCAAAAGCATCTGTTTAATACAAGTACACTTCACTAAACCCAAGTCTGTCTTTTGTAAGGAAACAGCAACTTAATGTTAACAAGCACCTGTTGAAATCAAAACACTGTTTTCCTATTTGTTTTGTGATAATGCAACAATTTAAAAAGACAGAAAGAAAGTAATACGCAAAATAAACATTGATAAAAAGCACTAAATCAATGTATGGAAGCCCTGAGATGCAAATACGTATTTTAGTCATTCTACAGAAAAGGTGGAATCTGGGTGATACAAATCTGCTGAAATATATTCCTTCTAAACACATCTAAAAACTAAAATAGCAATAACTAACTCTTAACTTGATGAATCCACAACAAGTAGAGCTTAAAGTATTTTTATTATTTGTATACATTATACAAAGCTTATTTATATAGGAACATCACTGGTGTTACGTATTACCAGGAAGAAGAGTAACACCAGTGACGGTAACACCAGTGACAATTTGGAGAAAACACTACCATTTTAACAAAATGGCTGCCATGTGCCATTTTCCCATTCAAATGTTCACCCCTAGGGTTATGATATGAGTAACACTAATGACAGACTTGAAAGACGCACGTAACATTTGAAGATAAAATGACACCTTTAACAAACAAAGTAAGAAGTATCTGACTTTCCTTATGTCTTTGTCCACTGCACTGCCTCAAATGATCTCTTGTTACAGGAGGCATTTCAGAGACAGTACATTACTTCAAAAATAAAAGCGTTTTGTGCAGTAACACCAATGACGTAATTTTGGGTGACTGACATTTATTGGATATTATTAATAATAATTTGCGTTTTTTTTTACCATTTCAGTGTTATATTTGATGTATGTAATGTTATGTAAATATGAATGAGATGTATTTCTTGAAAAAAACTTTTTTAAATGAAAACTATAGGCTCCACTTCCATGTATGATCAAAGTGACAAGGCAGTTCCTTGAACTTGGCATTTTAAATAAATTGCAATTTATATATATATTTATTTGTATTTATTTATTTAGTACCATTGCAAAGACAATCTCTATTTATTCAACATATATAATGAATGTGAGTATTAGGTCAACGTAATGTATTTTGGTGTCTGCAAAAGTAAGTGACAGTACTTCCACCTTTTCTGTAGAATGACCCATTTGTTGTTGTAATTCTCATTTTGTCCACAAGAAGCTGGAGTGCTCCACTAGTGGCCTGGTTTGTTTCCCCCTCAGAATTCTGCATTTTGATCACATATATAAAATGTCAGTCATACTATGTTCTGTTTGTGAACATCTGAGATGACCTCAAAAAACAGTCCTATCTTTTGTTTTATAGTACAAAATGTCTCCAGGAAGCACAGTCAATCTCTCACACAAAGAGAGATACAGTCCAAGTTTTGGAAACTGAAGGACAAGCGGATCACTGTGCCCCATGAATAATTCAGAAATCACTGAAAGTCATGTTGCTAGGGCTACTACTAGACAAAGGAGGGTGGGGGGGGGCGTCTTAAAGCTGCACTCAGATGTGAGTCAGCAGAACAGACAGACGGAGCAGGACAACCAGCTTCATCAAGAATCCCAGGACACTTTTCTCCATGTATATCAAATTTTGCCGCATTTATGGTCAGGATAAAAAAGATGGAGTCGGTGAAAAGTTATCACCTGAATCCAAGTTATCTGTTGAACTGCAGGAGGAAAAAGGTAGGCCAGAACCTTCATGGTGTTTTATGTTTGTGCGTATTCTGAAATATCTCTCCAACATCAGGCTGATTTCTTCCTCCTCAGGCAAACCGACGGAGGGGAACTCACGTCTGTACCGTGCTGCGTGTTTATTCCTCACCATAATCTGCCTGGTCCTGCTGCTGTTCGTCATCATACTCAGTGTGAAACGTGAGTAGGCTATCTGCAGCCATGGATCATGTCAGCACTGTAAAAACAAACAACTACTTCAGCTGGATTATGTTTGTAACTCCAAAACAGATTATGAAAGGATTTATGGTTTCACTGGCAGGTCAAAATTAAAAGAAATAAATGTGTCAGAGTCACTTTGCCATGGTTCCTTTTTTGCTCGTAGAAACCATAAAGGATTATAAAGTGTGTCTGATCTAACTGCTGCAGCCTGTGGGCACCATTCCTTTCTCTTAAAACTCCTCCCACTGTGCTCTGCTTTCCAGTCCAAACTGGCTCTACCATCTGTCCAGAGAGAGAGGAAACTACAGCAGATGAAAGGCGGAGTCCTCCTTCTGATTTGACATGCAGCCACGAGAAGTGCGAGGCTCTCTTCCCCGAGTTGCAACCCCAACGTGAGTGTGATGCCAACTAGACAAAAGCAAAACCTTATGCAAGCCAGGGAAGCATCTTCATCAACCGAAAGAAAAACTAGAAGAGTGCAGGTGCATCTACTGCTTTCATTTCTGAATCACAATTATATTAGCTTTGTGTGCAAATCTTGAAAGAACCAATCTTAATCCCGAGGGGTCAGAAGTCAAAGACAATATACAACAGTCATTTAAAGTAAGTATTTTTTAAAATGTGTGAATCACCCTAACCACCAGAGGTCCTTGAATGAACAATCATAAATCTGCACATTAAAAAATCAGACTGATGGGTCCGGTACTATGTGAGATTATTGGCGTACAGACAGGTGCACACACATGACAAACACATGACCCCAGGCTCCAGACTGACGGTCACCGCAGTTCTGCTTTCACAGTAGCCCAGATAGTTTTTTAAATAGGCCTCAGAGGAAGTTAGTTCATGTGCTAGTTTTTATAGAGCTGAGAATGTTTAATTGAATTACCAATAATTCAACTTTGATCATCTTTATTGTTACCTCTTATACAAAAAGCATTGAAGATGGCCCTGTGTTTACATACAACTAAATTTATAGGTAAATGCATGCACACAAAATGTGTTTGGATAAACAAACTCCCTTGAAATGTTTAAAAGCAAATTAAAAACCTATCTATTTAATATGGCTTTTAATTTGGATTAACTTTCAATTGTCACTAGTATCATTGTCCATGTTTTACTGTATTTTATTTCTGTTTTGCTTTTATTTTACATTTTTAATTTTATTTTTTTAATTGTTTTATTTTTAAATATTATCACTGTAGATGTTTTCTCTGGTTCTGTATTAATTTGAATATTTTTGTTATGTTTTCTGTAAAGCACTTTGGGCTGCTTTGTGCATGAAAGGTGCTATTCAAATAAAGTTTATTATTATTATAAAAACATAAAGAAAAATGATGCAGAAAGAAGAAAAAGCGTTAGATTTGCTTTATTATTTATGCAATTGAGTCTATGAGCTTTTGTTCTGACTTGTATTCTGCACTGATGCCTCTCTCCCTCCAGATACCAGCTGTCGGCAGTGCCCTGGCGGCTGGGTGAGTTATGGCCCGTCGTGTTTCTACCTGTCCACCTTCAGGCTGAGCTGGGAGGAGAGCCAGAGGAACTGCAGCTCCCGCAGAGGGTCTCTGGCTGTCATTACCAACAGGGGACTCCAGGTGGGTCTTATGTCACTTCCTCATCTAGCCATGAGGTGTAAACATGCAGTTCACCTTTCTTACCATCAGTGGTGTTTTCTCTTGTAGTATTATCTGACCAAGGTGGGGAAATTGACTTACTGGATCGGGCTGAAACAAACAGAAACCACATGGACCTGGGTGGACAAGACTGAGCTGACAGAGAGGTGATAATTAGTGAATTGACTGATCATCTCAACACATTTCTTCTTGGTCTCTGATTATTGTTGTTTTGTACACGTGTATTTTACTCTTTCAGAACAAAACACTCAGTGGCCACTTTATTAGGTACATCCGTAGGATCCAGTGCAATCCAATACAACAGCACTGCCTTAAATTCTGAAGTAAGGTTATATTTAGGCTGGTAATTATTGGGGTATCAGTCTAAGTTCTCAGATCTTGTACTTGAGTAAATGTAAAAATACCAGAATACAGGAATACTCTGTTACAGGTAAAAGTCCTGCATTCAAAATGTTACTCAAGTAGAAGTAGAAAAGCATCAAAATAAACTTGAAGTACCAAAAGTAAAAGTACTCTTATGCATTATGCATATCGGCACATTTCAGAATAATATATACTATATGTTTTGATTATAATTATTGATGCATTAATCTGTTTATCAAAGCTGGTAAAGGTGCAGCTAGTTTTAATAGCTTTGTATTGTGAAATTACTCAAGGTGTAACTAAAGTCAAGCTTTGATTATATTTCACATAATTTATCCCAATCTGTAAAGTAACTAAAGAAATTAAATAAATGTGGTGGTTAACGATTTACCTCTGAAATGAAGTGGAGTAAAAGTACAAATTAGCATAAAATGGAAATACTCAAGTAAAGTAAAAATGCCTCAAAAAATCTATTCTAGTAGACCTCAACAATGGAATTATGATCAGTGGAAATGGCCATGACATGGGACCTTTTAAAGGTGGGGTAGGTAAGTTTGAGAAACCGGCTCGAGATACACTTTTTGTTATATTCCATGGAATGCTCTTAACATCCTGATAGCAATGAATATCTTAAGTGCTTTGACAAAAAATCCATAACAAAATGTCATCTGTGGAAGCCGTAGTACTGTAAAAAGCACGACCAATCATTTTAGCCGGCCCGGCAAAAGTAACTGGATGGCCTACCTGCCTGTCAGCCTTCCATCTGTGCACAAACTTATCTCGTGCCTTCATTGGTCATGTGCGCGTTCGTGTGTGTTGGAGGAGGGGCTCTGTAAGGAAGTGGCAGATATTTTCCGTCTGTGTATTTTCAAATTCTACCGTGCTCGAGCTGGTTTCTCCAAAATGACATACCCCACCTTTAAGAAGCCAGATAATCTATATAGTCTTGAAAACCTAGAAGCTTGTAATTGATTAGACATAATCTTGAGNAAAAAATCCAGAAAATCACATCTGGATCTGGAGACTGGCTAGGCCACTCCAGGACCTTGAAATGCTTCTTACGAAGCCACTCCTTCGTTGCCCGGGCGGACCGCCCGGGCAACGAAGGAGTGGCTTCGTAAGAAGCATTTCAAGGTCCTGGAGTGGCCTAGCCAGTCTCCAGATCCAGATGTGATTTTCTGGATTTTTTTTTTCTCATTTTGTCTCTCATAGTTGAGGTATACCTAGGATGAAAATTACAGGCCTCTCTCATCTTTTTAAGTGGGAGAACTTGCACAATTGGTGGCTGACTAAATACTTTTTTTTTAAAGTGTACAAGTGTTGTACTTATAAATAAATCATTTAAATATTTTTTTCCAATTGAAATCCAAACCGCAGATGTTGCAGAATGACACACGTACAGAATCAGAAATGTATGCATTTTCATCTTTATTTCCCACAAAAGTTTATGATATTAATTTACAAAAAAACAACAAATATTTGCATTAAATACAGAGGACTGAGAAAGAATAAGAGAGATCCCTCAACCTAATTTCATTAACCTCCCTTTGCGATGCATTCATTCTTTCTAATCAACATAACTTGAAGTGTACTCAAATGCATTAAGCTCACCCGGAAATACTGACGACGGTAAACCCTACCAGCGACAACGTCTGCCCTGTGCCAAGCCTTTCTTTCACCATGTAGTTACTTATCAAAACTAATATAGAGAATAATAGTGGTGTGAAGCATTACAAACAGCCTTAACTCTTTATTTCTCAGACAGCCTCGTTCTCTCTCTCTCTCTCTCTTTTTCCAGTCTTTTGTCCTCACTCAGGCACCGTACACACTCTCATTACTGTAGGTCATGTAGAGAAACAGGTCCTCTTCATGGTGCTCCTGGGACACGAAACAAGAAAGGGGAAAATAAATAATTCAGCACGACAATGGTACTTAAGAATGCACACTAACTAACACACTCAACATAACCTCATTGATTATTTAAAGCTTATTAGAAAATGCATATTCTATTGACCTGTATATAGACTTTTTGCACTAATTTTTATTTTGTATTTCATTCTATATGTTGCATTGTTGGAGGAGCTCAGGTCAGAAGAATTTCATTGCCATTTCTACACTGTAGCTTTTTTGCGTATGACAGTAAAACCTTTGAATCTTGAATATGCACTTTCTTTTTTTAATTCACCCCAAATTTGAGTTGACTGATCAAAGTGTAGTAAAAAAGCTTTTTTCTGGCACCCAGAAAACTTTAATTATGATCAGGTCAGAATTTTCTCTTATTGTGCAAGAGGGTTACTGGCAGGCTCAACGTGACATCAAGTCTCAGCAGATCTATTTAGCATGGAAAACAGTTTCTGTGTGTGTGTGTGTGTGTGTGTTGGGGAAGCTCCTTGTGAAGATGTGTGTGGACGGGTACAGTTACCTCATATACAGCAGAGAGTGGGGAGCTGGATGGGGGAAGGGAGTTGTTGACGAAGAAGAAGAGTGCCTCCTCTGGTCTCAAAGACACACGCTGACGGATCAGGAAGCACAACTGGCCCACTAAGAAAAGGAAGAAGAGAAAGAGATCAGCAAGGGTCTCACTCAGTAGTTTCATTTCACATAAAGAGGAAGAAAACAGACGACTCGACAAAATGACCAGTACACTCTTCAGTCTTCTGACCCAAAAACTAAAAACAGGAATACTGCCAAGAGAAATCAAGACGTTAAATTAAATCAGAAAGACAAAAAAGCTAAAAAACCTTATTATGCAGTGACACTATCAGGCTGAATCATGAACAGTTTCCCTTAGTGCACCTATCAGATTTTCACAGCAAGACATTTTGACTTATAGCATGAGACACAGATGGAATTATAACATTAACTATGGATTATTTCTCAGTAAAAGCGCAAGGGGATGAGATATTTTATCTTCACAATAAGATGAATGTGTTGTGCCATCATGGTAGAGAAGAGAAATATAGAGCGTGATTAAAAATACGGGATCTCACACTTATTTATGCACCTTATGGTTTATGATACCCTTTATTTAGGAATGATTGATGTTTTTTGTGTTACTTCTTGACCATATGCAATGTCAATTTTTTTGGTATGTTGCAGTGCGGGTTTTAAGCATACACCTATGAAATCACCTGTGCTGAGTGTTTGCTAAAAAAAAAGCTTTTATACATTTATGTGACCACCAAAACTGAAATGTATCCTGTCAAAGAGCTGGTGATTGCTGGATGTGATGAGTCATCTGAGAGATTTAACTGGGATTTTGAAGATTTTGCATGTATTTGTGTGTTTCACCTGTTAAATCTGAGGGCACCAGGTATTTCTTCTTGTCCAGTTCAGGGGCGCGTGACCTCGGGGACTTCTCCACAATGATCTGGTTAAATAGAGCCAAAAGTAATCAGCCATATTCCAAAATCTAAACAACAACAAATACATTCATACTAATTTACAGTTGCAATCTGTTTAAGAATTCATATACTTATTATTTTATTAGGATAACCGGCTTTAAATAGAGATCTTGGTTATTTTGCTGTACAAACATAACACCTCCTAACCTAGTTTAACTGATTGAAGGTCACTAACAGTAGATGCAACATGTTAACAGATCATACTGACCGGTATCTTGTCAGGATGCTTGGTCCGGACCCTCTCTCCCTCTGCTCTCCTCACTTCTAGAGGTACTGAGCGCTGGTACTGACTGCCCATCTGTAAACAACAAGGCAACAAACACAAGAAAACATGAATTCCCTCACAATGGCATTATTTACAAAGAATACAGAGCAATGGCTGACGTCACCAATCAGTGTATTCAGTCAACAAGTGATATGACCGCGTAAAGAGCACAGCATTGTTTGATGAATGATGACATCGGGCTTGGTTTAATCACGTGTTTTTTGGAGGTCACATTAGGGGTGTGTACTTCTACCTCTTTGATATCTTTGAGCTTACTATTGTTTTCAAATGCGTTAAGGGTTAATCAGTTAATTGCTGAGGCATCAATTTGAAAATTTTACCTAAGTAAAAGTAGCAATACTAAATTGGAAAAACACTGTTACAAGTAAGTCCTGTAGTCAAAATACTCCATTACAAGTCAATCCTACATTCTAAAGTAGAAGAACAGAGTCATTATCAAGAGAAAATGTACGTAAAGGATCAAAAGCAAAAGTAGTAATTCTGGAGAAAAAAGTCCTCCAAATGTGATATATTATATATGATGACATTACATTGTTCAAATTGTTGCACCAAGCCACATTTTGTAATATATTGTATAATTTTACTTTTTTGTGACTTGAAAAGTTAGTCCAGTAGTTTGCATTTTAGAGATGGATTAAGTTGAAAGTGTATTACGTTTTTGTTTTTTTTAGGAAAAATGTTCACATTTTCAAAGTTACCAAAGCTGTGTTAATAAATGTAGTGAAGTCAAATTACATTATGTAAATATTCAAGTAAAGAACAAGTACTTCGAAATTGTACTTGAGTAAATATACTTCGTTTCTTTCCACCACTGGTGCTCTTACATAAACAGAACCCCAACTATCCACCACTGTCTACAACCTACGTTAAGCTAGGTGTGGGTGGAGGAAACAGCAGAATCGTGGCAGAGGCTGAAGAAACTGCACACTGCGTCGAGTAATAATCATTTTAACTGAATATTGAAAAATTAAACAATCATAGCTCTCTCCCTATATTTGTAATATTCAGATTGTTGTGGTCACGATGTCAGTGTCTGCCATCAGGGTTGTTTTGGTCATCGTGAATTGAGGCCACGTCACTTTTAACAGAATCTAGATCAGCTGACTCGCCTTCCTCCTGTATTACAATAACATAACCAAACTAACAAAGCAGATCGTTGGGATTGACTATGTGACAACGTCTCTTCATATTTGTGTGTAATTTGTGTTTTTTATTTGTTAACTGAATACGAAATCAACCGTTTGCTGTGCTATATAGCTATCAATGCTAACAGCTGCAGCTAACGCATCGAAGAAGACGTTAGCTGCAGCTGTTACTGTTCACATACCTTGCAAAAAGACACACACAGGTTTCACTAAAAACACGATCAATCCGGATTCACTTTGCTATTTCCTTTAGGTCGTCAAGTCTCTAAATGATTGTCTTAAGAAACGGTCATAACGCACAGAAATGCTATGGATACCAAAGATGTCGACTGGTCTGCTCCTATTCTCCTGAACGAAAACAACAACAAATACTGCAGGGTACGCCCACCAACGATGTGACCAATCAGAGACGAGTGCGTTGATTGACAGTGGGAGTGTCCGTTTAGAGGACGGCAACGGTGCGTTTATTGGATGACTACTGTAGTCCCGCCTTCTAATTGACGGCAGAAATAAGCAATAGCAAACACTTGAAAATGGGCCAGGCCGACTTAGTGGTCACGCCCCAGCCAGGCTACGTGCATTATCTGTACTGTTCTCTTTCTTCTGTAAACAGCTTGTTCAGACTGTTCTCTGCATTTTAGCCTAGTGTCAAAAATATGCCAGTAATCAAGTTAATCCAGAACAAGGTTTCTTGTGAATTTACAACAATGCTGCTGGTGTAAAATGTGTAGCCTACCAGCTTTGTCCAAAACAACTCGCTTTCATGATGAAGACAATAATCCACAGCTCTCTTATTAAAGCATGTACTTTTCCAAACGTGATTTTATTCCTCCAATATGAATTATTATGAAATGTCCTCACCGTGTTATCTCTGTACATCTATGAATAGTCTAATACATTTTTGCATGATTTCTGCTAGGTCACCTTCATGCAGAGGCCAACTTTCTTAACAGAAATGCAACATACACTCAACTCTTTGTTCTCTTCAATATACACAAATAATAAATCAAACACAGCATTTCTTTAAAAAAAGAAAGAAGGTGATTTCCTTTTTAAAGCATTTTCTCTTAAAACACCAGTCTGTATTGCCGCACACACTTGTTGGTACTGTAGATAAAAGTCAATACAGTTACAATGTGCTAAATGTCTTTCAGGCAGGCCTCAGCATGTGCATTGAAGTCAATATCTTGTTCCCGCTGAGTAAATCAAATGAGACCCAAAATGATATGGAGATGCATTCTACAACTGTTCAGTTGCTGCACTTTAGAGAAAAAATACAATGGCAGAAAAGCTCATCAGTAGCACTGAGTGTCCATAATAATTTCCAGCTACTCAAAGTCCTCTCCTTTGCGATTTATTCCAGGACGTCCCCTTGTCCAGTCCGAGTGTCCTGTTCAAACGGCAGCTGTGGCTGTTGTCAGTTTGATGGCATCTGAAAGGTTGCGTTGCCGGATATTAGAGTTGGTTATGGTTTCCAAATGTGAATCTGGCACCCATCCACGATGCCGATCGGACAGTCTGGTCCCCTCTACCCAATCTGGAAGGAAAAAAGGATCCAACAAAAAGTTAATTATTGTCTATTCTCTAATAATACCAGGCTGCACATATTGCACGAGTGAACCGTTTTTAAGGGAATGATGGGGGAAGTTAGATAGTGAAATAGTCTTACGGTCACTGCTTTGTTGATGCACTAGAATGATGTCAGCTTTTTCCAACGAAAGCTCATCAGGCTGATGGCCAACAATAGCCCGGATACACTGCATCTGTGTAAAATCTGTATGGACACGAGGAGAGAAGTCAGACCTACAATCAACAACTGGGCCTGCAAAAATTGCGCTGCACTGACATTTTCCCCACTCTACTGTTATATTTATTTGTTATTAGCACATAGATTTTCATGGTATCATGTTATTCCGGAATTATATAAATACATACTGTCCGCCATTTTGATTCAGTCTCTGAATGTAAGTTTAAATTAGTTAAAATTCAAAACAATGTCAATGTTTTTGCTAAAAAAATACAAACAAAAATCTACACTTAGTTTATTTTCATGTGACAACGCACTCACTGCTGAGGATGCTAAATGATGTGTTTGTAATCTAAATGTACAAGTCTCAATCACATTGAGTGTTTTTAATCAGGGAATGAGGTAGGAAGGAATTTAAGACAGAGCTTTTGAAAAAAAAGTGAGCTTTGCAATGTCTAAACCAAGTAGCATAGCTTCACCTTCTGCAGCAGAAAAGTCTATTTCAGGATGAGGCCGGGAGAGAGCTGATATCCAACGTAGCTTATCACTCCTGAAGGTAGAAAAAGCAAAGAAGGTAGAAAAAGCAAAGATGGGTGAGTCTTCTTCCATGTTTATGTTAACTTGATGACATGAGGACTGATATTTAGACATTCCCTGCCACTGTTTTAGTCTCTTACTCTTTGTCTGTCCGCACCAGAAGGGCTCTGTTTGTCATGTGTAGCCGGAACAGGTTCTTCTGGAGGGTGTGCAGTTTGACACGACAGTTCTCAGCACGCAGGTCCGATACGGGAGAGTGGTCTATAACTGTGAACCTTCCCCCTCTGGAAGCAGAAAAGAGAAATTAGATGGCGGAAGGACTGACTGCGATAAGATTGAAGAAATGATAAAAGTCTGCGGATATGCAGGAAACAGGATGTAACAAGTGGTAAATGACCTATTTAACCATTACAGAATTGTTGACTCACTCTTTTTGAAGGGAAATCAGCAAATAGTCATTGAATAGGTGCACATAAATATTCCTCTCCGTTTCCTTTAGAGAGAAATCCATCAGCTCAGTGACCAGACCTTCACGCACCATCCTCCGAGACTGACTGATCAGAGGAAGAGTCTGTAACAACACAAACAGACAGGAAGTATTATAACTCAAGCTCCTTGTAGTCAGTTGTTTAATTGTCCTACATCAAACCATGACTGTTGATTTCAATTGAGCTTTTTCGATGAGAAATAAGTTAACTCTATCCACTGATGAAGACCATGGTGCAGTTGAAAGCTAGTAAGTGACATACAATCATTTTGAGATAATTTTTATATTCCATAAAAAAATACTAAAAACCCAAGGAAATTACATTTGTATTGCTTGAAATGATGGGTGAAATAAATTATTTGATACGAAAAGAGTTTTAAAAAACATGAAATCAGTCATTTGCAAACATGATTAACAGCATGTTAATCACAATGTGACTTACCCTGCACTCAAAGCCCACTTTAGCACTGAGAGAGACCAGAGACTCAATGCTTTTCATCTGAGTGATGCTGTCGTTACTCTCTTGAATCAGCTAAGGAAGAGATATATGAAAGAGGCAGAGTTTTGTCACAAGGCAGTTCAAGATATCCAGGATCAAATGTAACATGTCCAACATGTGCACAGCATAGGTATATTTATGTACCTTCTCCAGAAGTTTCAAAGCTTTGATGGCCTGTGTTGCCTCTGCAGTACCAGGAGTTGTTCTCTTCACAATGTTCTGTGGAAAAGCAATGTGCGTGTGTTAAAGTCACATACAGGATTGAACATGTTGTGAACCATCAACATTGCTGTTAGAGAAATTCTCTCTCACAAACACAAACACACACACACACACACACACACACACAAACACGCACACACACACACACCTGGACCAGCAGCCTAATTCTTATGATCCTCTGGAAGGGGAGGACGAGGAAGGAACGAAGAGGAAGTCTCTGGCAAACAGGACTCCTCTCTAATTTCTCCACTATCCGTCTGAATCCTGGATTCTCCTCCCTGAAAGAAAAAGTGAAATTGAATGTCGAGACAGATACAAACCCTACAGCCTGTAGCTGAACACAAAAGCTTGACTGAGTGTCTTACATGAGTCTCTGGTAGGTGGCGTCCTGATAGGACTGGTTGGTGAGGTAGGGCACATAAACCAATTTGAAGCGCTGACAGTGCCATGCGATGATATCACACACCGTGAAGTGAAAGGTATCAGATTCAACACGCTCCTCCAGCTTTGATAAAAAACTTTTTAAAAAAGACACAAATCATGAGTTAATTTCTTCAACATATTTGTAAAATCGTACCTGCACATCACAAGTAGTTTCGATAATATTCAGATACAGAACTATAAATAATGTTAAACATTTCTGACCTGTGGCTGATGGCTCGAACATCAGCGAGCCGGGAGAAGAGCCAGTTCCTATCCTGAGAGGCTAACAGCGTCCCTAACTGTTTGGACTTGACAAAATGTTCAACAACAATGTCCAAACTCCGACAGTATGAGGCCTCCGAGGTCACCACCTCAAATCTCACCTAGAAGGGAAATACATTAAAAAAAAAGATCAAAACGTTGAGTAAGAGCCGACTAGGTAAATCATATCGCTAATAAGCAGTGACAGTTCTCTGAAGGCCGGGGCATTTTGACAAGGATGTGACTAAGTAGGGAGGTAGGTTACGCAATGAGAAGAAGAGTTCAAGCCCAGACAGAGGAAAACAACCATAATGCCAGAGAAACACACTTGCACATTCAGTAAGACACTCCTTTGCCGAAAATAAAGTGGATCACTTTGAGGGGTATTCTGAAATGATGCAAGTACGAATATTTCACGTGAACTTTGTAGTGTGAGAGGTTGGTGGATCAAAGAGAATGGCAGAGTAGTGTCATTTCCCAGAAGTTAAAATGAAATACAACAGACATCATACCTTGTAAACGAAAATTACAAGTGAGCTGATGAGTCTTTAAAACTAGAACTGACTATTGACACAGATTTTTAACCTGATTTTTAGCTACACATGTAGCTGCTCTGGTCAAAGGATACAATCTAATCAAAATCCTTTACAGATTAAGGAAAAGTGAAGATAATGAACTATATTAAATTAAATGCTTTGGAACGCCCTGCCTGGAGAAAGAAGGCTTGCAAAATCAGTGACTTTACCTAAATCACTTCTTTTTTAATTTGTATTTATTTGTAAAAAGTGTTGTCCTGCTCTTGGCCTTGCTTTCTGATGTGTTTTCTTATGAGTATCCTGGTTTTGCTTTTCCTTCGTTAAAAGGTGCCATATATTGAAAGTCTCTTGTGGGTGATCTTATCTTGCCTTGAGCGTTCTGACTGATTTCCCTGAGATGGGAACCTTGATCCAGTCTCTTTCCAAAGAAACACAAATGCATGTCTTGGCTGGAATGAAAATCCCTGCCTGAAGTTACTGGCACGATGTCCTTCTCAATAAAAATGTAGGGCAAAACCCTCCCTTCAAGGAAACATTCTGCCACAAAATAGTGACTAAACTTTCAAATGCAGAGTAAGATTAGTTACCTCCTGTAGTCGTCTCTCGTCATCTGTGAGCTCCACCAGCTCAACGCTGTTCCTGACGCCCGGCAGCTCCCTCCACAGAGAGGCCGACTGAGACGACGACTGAGAGAGCGAGACGGAGAGACGAGGGGAGGAAGGCCTGCCTTCAATCTTCGGGGGCTCAGGGAGAGGCAAGCTTTGGACACTGGTGATGGAGTTTGAGTGGGACAAGGAGTGGGGATGCGGGACAGAAGGTAGGGGAGGAAGGGGTCTGCGGGCAGGAGGGGGGGAGGGAGGAGGGACGCCATCGGAGCGAGCCTGGCGCAGGATCTCAATGTTCTGGGCCGCCTCGTTGTACTGCTGGTATAACTGGGCCGCATCTGGGAGAAAGAGAGGATGTGAGACAGAGAAAAAAGCAGAAGAGAAGAGGGCACAACAGAGACAGAAAGAGAACAAAATGGAAGAAAAGAAGATAAATGCTTTAGCCAAGAGGAGCTGTTTGCATTCAACATTCCTTTTACACGTACTTGTTGGAATGCAAATTTGCAGCAGCAGCTGTTTTCGCTTCAAGTGAAGAGATACTAATACTAATACTTGCAGAAACCTGTCCCTGGCTTGCACAGACACACATTTATAAACAGCACGTACGCACACACTCCTGCCCCATGTATCGCAATAAATATGAATCATAGGCTAAGCGACAAACTGCCATTTTAGAATAAAACTAATTATGAAAGGGTGTTAACAGAAAACTGGTTTTCCTTTGATTTTTGAATTTCATTTTCGTTCTAAGGCGACATGTTCAGGGTAAGTGATAAACAGTTAGTGAGCCTGCATTCACAAACAGAGATGAATCACACCAACTGAAGGGAAATGCTCAACTGCGTCATGCTTTTTCCCAACCACATCAGCCAGAAGAGATAACATCTGAAGACACGTCAATTTGCCGTGACCTTTTCTAATAATCAGTCTAAAAATGTAAGTTTGTGATAAAAAAGAAATAAGGGTAATTGAGAAAAGCAACAGCACATTTATGAGATAGCAGTTAAGAAACATGTGTTTGATTGAGGTCCAAGGCAGACCATTGTAGTATTTTAAGCAGCATGACCTGATTGAAGAAAACATTTAAAAGATACTCACTGAAAATCTTTGAATTCCTTTTCCGTCTTTCGATTGTGTCCAAAACATTTCTACAGTGCAAAGAAAATAATGATAAGTTATTATCATGAAGACTGGTGGAAAGAAGTGACAAATTAAATATACAGAAAAAGTAGTGTACCATGGGATTCAGAATTTCTAATTTGAACCCATCTTAGTACTAGGAGCAGTGGGCAGCTATTGCACAGCGCCCGGGGAGCAATGTATTTGTATGCATGCTCCTTGTTTAAATAAATACATAACATTGACATAATTTAAATATATCATTGTGACTAAGTTTTTAATATCAGGGACACTTAATCCAAATTAAAACAATTGAACACATCTTGTGCACTACTGTAGATTAACACAGAGAGCGTGTGCGTGTGTGTGTGTGTGTGTGTGTGTGTGTGTGTGTGTGTGTGTGTGTGTGTGTGTGTGTGTGTGTGTGTGTGTGTTTTACTTACCTCAGCTCCACTTCTCCCCAGCTTTTGCTTCGATCATCCTCATCATCTGGAATAAAAAAGTATCCATTTGTCGAAACGTTATACAACAGCATACTCATTGACTATGCTCCGATTCATTTACCACAAACTACAAGGACAATTTGGATGAATTAATTAAAAAAAAGGTAATAAATTAAATAAATAATTAGTTCAGTTAGTATCCGTGCTTCAATAAGCTATAGAATAAGATGAGTTTGTTCCCATAAATCGAGCTTCTCGTGTCATGTCTCAAAGCAGAATCAACTCCAGCCTTATAGCTCATGCTTCTTATTTCCCTCCCTCTCCACCTCCACTTATCTCCGCCCACTACCTGAGCTCTAACCACAACACTGTGACGCAGTTTCCAGTTTCATGTAATGTAATGGGACCAGATCAGTGCACTGATGTTGTCTTTTAGCAGATGTCTACATTAGATGTGGGCTTGTTTAATGTGACGACAAAGTGTTGCAGGAAACTCTTAGACGGAAATGACTAGATTAAAGTCTCCCATCAAAGTCAGGAGGAAGAAACAAGTCTCTACAACATTTAAAAGATTCTCCGTGTGCAGTCTAGCCTGAAGCATTTTGATTGAATTGGATGATTTTTTTTTTTTTAAATGGTGAATGAGGACAAAAAGAGAATTAGTCTCCTTCCTCCATCTTCTGTCTTTACCTGTTGTAGAGAAAATTCTGGTTCTGCGATCCCTTCCATTCTCGTCATCTCTTCTTTCTGTGGTTTTACGGATTCCCCTTCGTCTCATTCGAGCCTGGGGACCCAAATCCCGAAAACTGCAGCTGCTCAGCCCAGCCCCCCCTGCTGTCTTGGTCTTTGCCACCGCCTCTCCTTCTCCATTACCCCCCTCACCTTCCTCTCCCACCTCCTCTACAGTAGCCCTCTCCTCAGGCCCCTCTCCCTGCCTTTCTTCTTCACTTTCCCCCATTCTGTCTTCCCCCTCTCTGGAGATATCCAGGAGGTCAGATTCAATATCATAATTAAGAATAGGGCAGCTGTTAGGCTTGTACAGCGTGTGGCTCACGGTTAAATACATCTCCTCCTCCTCCTTATCTCTGCTTTCTCTGCTTTCCATATCATCTGGAATAACATGATCCCCTGCCTCTTCGCTAATGATCACCTCTACTGCTGCCTTTTCTAACTGAATGTGATCAGATGGCTCAGTTACTATGTCCATACTGGGATCCAACTTCCCTTCTTTGTCTAACAATGTGTCACCATGAGTGTATGCAGTTAAGTCACCATGCATAGATGTGAACTGGTCAGCATGCATGTCGGCTTGGTCTTGCCCCATACCTCTCAACTCCTCCGACGGCTCTTCCTCCTCCAGCTCTGTCTCCGAGTGCTGTTCGTCCGTACTCAACTGGATAACAGGCACACGTGCGGTCCCTTGTCCAGCCTCCTCCTGCTGTTCCATGTCCTTGTTGTCCATCTCCGGCTGACTGACCCCTTGTTGTCCTGCTTTATCAATGGTATGTTCCTCCGAGTGTCCCAGGATCTCCCACAACACATTTTTAGCCCATTTAAGATGGGGGGCCTGGGAATGACGCTTGGGTTCCTCGGACATGCTCCATGCTCCGCTCATTCGGATCCGAATGGCCTCCACCTCTTCTGGAGTCATTGCTCCGGTGTTAATCCCTTCTAAGGTGGGTTGAATTTGTTCAAGATTCACCTGAGAAGCAACGTTACCATAGGGATTACTGGGCACCTGCAAATCTAGCTCCTGCTCTTCTTCCACTCCTGCTTGATTTTTGCTTCTCCACTCTTGTAGGAGTTTTTCAGTCTGCGAGTCTCTTTTAACGGTCCCTATTTCTGCGTATGGGTGCTCTCCTTTGCTCTTTGTTTCCCCTCCAGTCTCTCTGTGTCTGACATTCACTTCAGTTGTGTTGTTTGAGGCCGGCGTTTCCTCCCCTGCCACGTCACACTCACCCTTCCTCTTTGCTTGCTGGTTGTTGACGACTGTTTTCTCATCACTTCTACTCGGATGCAAGTCATCATCCTGTGTGGCCTCATCACGACTCTCCATATTTGGGTTGTGTCTTTCCTCCCCTCCCATGTGATCACCTTGTGACGGGGACTTTCTGGTGTTCTTCTTCTCCTCCTCGTCTTCATCCACCCCCTCCTCCTTTCCCACTGTACATCCCTTCTTATCTCCCCCCTCACGCATCTGGAGGGCATCATGTGAACTT